ATCCTGGTGAAGAACCAGATGATACCGGTGGAAAACCAGCACCATGAGTTTAAAGAGCCTGCAATGGCCGCCATCTAGGAGCTTGACTAAGTCATCGATGTGTTATCTCCAATCTCCGATCAAAAGGAAGGACTGATTTAGGAAATAATATTGGAGTTATTATTCCCTCTTCTTGAGCATACAGAATGTGACCCAGCTGAAGCTGGGCTCACAGGGGCTCGCAAGGATTCACAAGGACACATCAACTGGGCCCTGAGGTGTAAAGACAATAGCTAAGATAATCTTGGAAAACATCTTAAGGAAGTTTTCACAAAAGCCCATCAAACAGAACACAAAAGACTTTCCATTCTTATCTTTTTCTATTAGCATTTAGTGAATAGAAATTTGTTGGACCAATGAAGACCCTCCTGACTTTTGTAACTGAAACCCATAGCATTGATTGTTAAGAAAGATGATTCAAAATGTAAGATTATAATTTCTAGCCAATCAGTGAAAAAGTGATGCTTTCAATGATTCTACCCATTTTGTGATGTTGATATATACTGATGGCTCTGTAACTGTTCTTTGGACTCGGGCAGACATGGCTGTGGCAGCATGCTTATCCATTTTCCCATTCTTGCCTATTCTGTGATATTCTTTGGACTCGGGCAGACATGGCTGTGGCAGCATGCTTGTCCGCTTCCCACTTTTGTCCTTTTGAATATATGCCAAATAAAACTTTCTTTTTACTTTAAAATGAATAAATAAATAAGGATGGTGCCAGACCGGACAGCGTTTTGTTCTGTTGTATATCGGGGTTGCCGTGAGGCAGAGCTGAGTGGACAGCAACTTACAACAACAGCCTGTTAGTGGAAAGAGACTTCTGTGCAGAAATAAGACTCCTAGTTCTGAACCATAGTGCAGAGGGACATTCCCTCAGGGGTGCAAGGGAAAAGAATGAGGGCAGGGGAAGAGGAAGAGCAGTGATGGGAGAACCTAAAAACTTTATAGTAGAATTAAAAATGAACTAAAGGGAACAGTGCTGTAGGAGTTTGAGAAAAATAGTCAGTGGTCAGAAATGCAGGCACACATCCCAAGCATGCACTCTAGCCCCCACCCCCACCCCTGCCCTGCACAAGACTTAGTGCCACCTTCTATCCATCCTGGCACTCAGTTACTCCATTCCTTCATACCCTGCTTGGGACTTGGTTTCCATGGATCCTTTCCAGAGGGACCTTGGTCTCTGGGCACTTCCTGCAGCAGCACTTCCTACTTCTGACCATTCAACTTTCTTCACTTCCTCTGTTACGAAGCAGTTGGGTCTTTCTACCACTACAGTTCACTGTGTCTGTTTATGGGACCATCAAGGTCTTTTGCGTTCACCAGAGTATCATCACAATGCTGTTTGCTCCAGTGTTATAATTCAGTTATCTTGGACTCCATCCTAGGCAAGTATTTACTGAAGTACTTAAAGGACCTCTTTACGAGTCATGGACTTTATTACAGTGAAGTTCCCATGCTTGTTTTAGTTTCCTTTCCTCCTCCAGGGCAGAGACTGTGTCTCCCAGTTCAACCGTAACTCTCCGCAGTAGGCAGAGCAAGGCACTACTCTCTATGAGTGCTCAGCAAATGTGTTGCCTCATTTGGAACAGATTATTTGATGTTTTTGAGAAGTGCCTGTCTTGAAAGAGTTTGTCCCTTAGTTCTGATTTGAAAAACTCTCTCATATCTTTCTTTAGTTTACTTAATATAACCATATCTCAGATGCAAGAGTGATTCCATCTTTTGCTTAACAAGTTTTCTCCTAGTGCCTACATCTTGAAGTCTAGCTCTTAGCCAATCCCACTTGTCTTGAATGAGAAATAAAAGGAGAAGAGGCCAGGGATAAAGTGAATCTCGGGTTTTGTTTGGTTTTGACATGTTTTTATATGCACACTGAAAATCAATACTATTCTGATTGCTATCTCCTGTTTTCAGAGACGTAGAATCTACCAGGGCCTCTCCAGGCTCCAGCCGAGGCCTCTCACCCTACACTGAGACACCGCCCTGATCAATCTCGGGTCATTCCTTCTAGTTTGACAAATTGTCTCTATGAGATAAGCATTTGCCAGTTGTTTCACCCACTGGCTCATGGTAAGAGCATTCACTGGCTTAGAGTTGCTGTGTGGGGAGCTTGTGAACAGCAGAGCTTGCCACGGGCTTTGATCTCTTTTCCAGGGGCCAGTGGATGACTTCAGGGTTTGGTTCTTTGCCGGGAGTGATGTGTGTTTTGTTAGACTTGTTTACCTCATGGTTAGGACGCAAGTGCCTCCACCAAGAGGGGAACCACATGTTTATCTACTTTGTGTGTCGGGCATTGTTCTTGTGCTGGCTCGAGTGGTACCACAATGTGTGTCTCTTGTACCATTTCCTCTTGTGATGCTCAGAAACGTTCCCCCTACCTGTTGGTGCTCAGGTTTGGTCACCATCAGTCCCTCTCCCAACTTGATTTCTGCTAAGTTGCACTGTTTCCAAGATGTCTGGAACCCCGCTGGACTGGGGGTATGCCCCGCTGCTCTCCCGCATTTGGAGGCTGTGTTTGCAGACTGACTCATTGCAGTGACAGTTCCTCTGCAGCTGCACTGGCTGCCAGACTGAGGACCAGGTTGAGTCTCACCCACATCCCGTTCTTAGGTCGGTGTCTGTTCAGTACAAATAGATCCGTGTGTGGAGTGACGCATTTTCTTTTAGATGAAGAAACCTAGTTTGTCTTTGAATTGATTAGTGACTACAGTGTTCTCTGGAGAAAGCCCCAGGGCATTTCTGGTCACTGTTACTCCATTGTGTATCTGGCGTTGGACATTGAGGGACTCTCAGGTTGGTTGTTTTGGAGTAATGAGTCTTTATGAATGGGCTTACCCAGAAAACAAATGGGGAACCATTCCAGGCGTCTGTCTCCAATTAGGTGTCGGTCACAGAGCTCCGTGATCACAGATGCTGCCATGGGCCTCTGACTAGGTTAGAGTTGCCTCACTTTTTTCCTTAGACATTCTACTTTTTTATTTTTAATGGCAAAAACAGTACGTGTTTATTTTAGAAACTTGAAAAAATACAAAATAGGCAAAAAGAAAGAAAGAAGCTAAAATCACCCACTGACAGCACTGAGATAACCAGCATGAACAGTGTGAACCAGTACGAACAGCTTCACGGGCCTGTGAGCCTCTTGAAGTCCTTGCATCATAGTGTGTAAGCTGAGAAACATAGATATTTCTCTAGGAGAGGGCCATAGCTTCCACTGGATTATCAAAGTTAAGGACCAGAGCCTCTTTCTGATCTGTGCTACTTCTTTTTGCCTTGGCCAGAGCTGAGTAAAACTGAGTTGTGGTGGCCAAGCTGCCATTAAAATATGGTGTTAGAAGTATGGCCCCCAGACACCCTTTTAGCTCAGTGGTGAAGTCATTTCTGAGGTTCACTGTTCAGCTAGGGAGTGGACAGCCCCATAAAACCAAATGGAACTAATGAGGCACAGCAGTCCAGGGACAAGGGCCAGAAGGCAGAAGGGGACAAGGAAACTGGTGATAGGGAACCCAAGGTTGGGTAAGGATGGTGTTGATGTGTTGTGAGGTTGTTAACCATTGTCATAGGGCAACATGTGTACTAACTGTTAAATGAGAAACTATTTTGTTCTGTAAGCCTTCATCTA